TACGATCGCCCAATGGATTGATTGCCAACTCTGGTATGCGGAGGAAGTCTTCGCGCGAAAGGGTTCCGTTGTCTCCTTTGTCTAAACTCGTGAAACGACTGTACAGTCTCTCGATCTGTGAAGGACTGACTGTTGGGCCGAAGAGTACATGAGATACAAGAGTACATCAAATGAATGGCAAAGTATTGGTGTAATGAGCGGTCACTTACATCCGGTCTCCGTTTGAATGGCTATTATCTCTTCATTTTGAAGCATAAGTGAGGATTTGTTTCCCATCTTTGGTGATAATCAGTGGTAAATGTGTTGAAAGAGAGATTCAAATGAATGAATGGATTGAATGTCTAATTGAGTGATAATTTCAATGAAACTGACAATCAATTCAATACTGTATTCAGTATTCAATACAATATATTACGCATCCATTCAATCATTCAATGCATTCACGCATTAATGCCATTCAATATCCAATCGACGCCTGATTTCCCACTTTTCAATCATTTGCCGCTCATTTCAAACATTGATTTTACTTATGGTTTTCAATGCAATGATTTTCACACCAATTATCACAACTAATCCATTCATTCATTCATTTAAATACTAATTTCATTTGTATTTTAAACACTTTATTGAATCAATTTTATGAGAATATAAATTATTAAACAAACATTTGACAAAAATATAAGTTTTAATTAACAGTCTCTCCAATGAATTACAATATGAATTGAGAATGTAATCAAATGTGAAAATACATTTTGATTCAATACATATTGCAAACAAATTAATACCAATATTACAACTATTTTTCAATTACTTTTTGCCTTTTACTGAATTCAGATTCAAAGCAGTTATTTTGACTTTTGCCGGAATATTCTTAGAGATGTCGAGATCTTTCACAGCTTTCAATAAATCCCTTTCCCTTTGAGACGCCGTCTTCTCTCTTAAAAACAATTGAAGAGCAGTTTTGGCCGCTTTTCCGCGTTTACTACTTCCAGGCATTACTTTTACTTTGTATTTATAACCATTTATAGCAGTATAGGGACCGCAAACTGGTATTGCAAACAACAGGTGATCCTCCGTTAGAGGAACGCCGGTTAATGTGTCAATAATTTTCACGTCATCCGATTGTTGGACAGTCACCTCCGCCTCTTCGTCGTCTTCTTCTTCTTCCAGAATAATCTCTTCGTCGTTGTCTTTAACTTTGTCTTCAAGTTCTGTTTCAATGTGTTGTACATTCAGTTTCTTTGACAAGTCTTTCACCTCTTTCTTCATATCGATTTTGTCGTCCGTTTTGTCATTAGTCTTGTTTTCCTCCTCTTTGTTATCATTTTTATCATTTTGTATGTCTTTGTGAGCACTCGTGTGTCCGAGTATTGCCATTCGTAACTGCCTTTCCTCGTCGTCTTGATCTTTATATTTCTCTTTGATTTTCTTGAGTTTTGATTTCTGTCCGCGTTTTAGTTGCTTTTTGTCGCTTACATTCAATGCATTTGTTTCGCTTTTCTCCTCTTTTGATGTCTTCTTATTTTTAGTCAACTTATGCTTCGTTTGTTTAATTCTGGGCTCTTTTGACTTAACAATAGTTTGCGTTTCGTTTTCGTCATTTGAATCAACATTTTCTTCTTTTGGTTCCTCTTTGGTCTGTATATCGAGTTTGGGTTTAGTGTCGGGAAAAGCTGTTCCTTCGTTCTCGGAGTCGCTTTCACTCATCACTACTTCCTCTTCCAATTGGGAACCATTTTCAGTGACCGTAGAAATCGAGTCCATATCCATAGAAAGAGCTCTTTTCCTTTCATTTCGATGTCTTTCAGTGCTTTCTTCGTCTAATCTGAAGACAAAACCGAATCCCATAATGAGATGACTGAGAGGTAAGTAATTCTTTTTGCCTCTAATCATAAACGAGCCGACAGTCAAGTACTCGCCAGAGGGAGCAGTTTTGGACACTTGGTTCGGGTGAACCCAAAAAGCACTTGTGATGGTCTTCGCCTCCCACGCGGCGCTGTAACAGATGGCCGCTTCTCCCGCTTCGTTCAGAGTCTTGGGTGGAATCGGTAGCGAAGGGTTACTGTTCTTAATGACCACAGAAGTGGCGCCGTGAGTGTCCGCGTGAACGTACAGGTCGTTGGCTTTCATATACCGTTTAACAATCAATTCGTTTTGTTGGGCATCCCTTCCGGCGATTACTATATAATTATCGGAACTAATAAACCAAAGAAACTTTTCGAACCATAAAATCTTTCGGGCTTTAGTTATACTCGTTTTGACGGCAACTTCTTTCAATGTTTTGATGGCCTTATGTTCAGCACTTTTGTACGCTTTTGCAGAGCTTTCAACAGTCTTTTGCTCTTTTATGGCTGCAGTCCTTCGTCTGTCGTAATACTTCCTCGCGTTTGCGAACGCAGACAAATCGATATCAATGTCTACGAGCGCTGCTTCACTGGATTCGTCGTACGGATCATTCAATCTCATTGTGAAATGATTTTTGTTTAGTTTCAATGATGTTATTCTACTGGCGATCAGATCTGATTCAGCCCTCGCATTGTCTATCATCTCCTGAATGTCTTCCCACGAGAGTTGGTTAGCGATAGCACTCCTCAACACAAGCAACGCGTTCTCCACCAGAAAGTTGTTGCTCTCAATGAGTGCCGCCTTTCGGATGTCTTCCTCTTGTATTTTGTTGAGGGCTTCGATGCGCTTCTTGTGATCGGTCTTCACTTTCTCCAACTTTTTCATCGCTTCCTTCTCCTGATTCAGAGCTTTTGCGTCAATTTTCTGGCCCTCAATACTCGAGAAGAACATATCGACCGCTTTGTCGAAGGACTCGATCTCCACATAACTCTGTTTCGGGTCTTTATTGTCTTTAAACTGATTGAACAAAAGTGGATGAAATTCCAGATAAGAGATAACCGAAGCGTTTGGTTCACCGATTCGTTTCTCTTCCTTTTGAATGATAAAACCCTTTGACATGTCTTTGATGTCATTCATTGTCTTTTGACACAATTCAAGCGCCCTTTCGATTGAATTCAAATCCAATTCAGATTTATTGAGCTTTAAATCCTGTTTTAAACCCATTTCGATGAATGAGTGCTCCAATAGATGTGTGCCGTAAAACACGTACGGATTTAACACTCGTTTCAACTCTTTCCGCAGGTTTTCGCCATCTTTTGCTTTCTCTAACACTTCTCGCAAATCATTTCCGACTAATGTCTTGAAGTCCTTCAAAGTCTTGGCGTTTTCGATGCAATACCGCTCTTTCACCACAAGATTCACGTCTTCATCGGTTCCCAGTTTTCGGGGCCGAAGAATATTAAGGATAATATACTGGTAATCAGTGATCACAATATTTCCCCTGTCGTAGAGCTCAAGAATCACGTGATATGAGGCCTCGTTTGCGCCGAACCGGAGGTCGACGACGCGGTCGACACCTAATTGTGTGATCTCTTCGATGCGTTTATTCTTCAGGTGTTTTCGCAATTTCATAGTGAATCCGTTTGGAGTGCTATTCTTCGGCCAATCGTATTGAGTGGTGTGCAGTCGGATCCCGGACTCAATCAAAAGCATTTGTTTCGCCGACTCATCACTGGATGACGGGTTCTGTTGACCACTTTTGGCCACTTTAAACAGATATGTCTTATTGTCAATGCAATAGATCTGCGAGACTCTCATCCCAATCAGCGATTGTCTCAATTCATTGCACATCACTTCGATGTCTAACGTCGAGAATCGGCCCTTCATTTTGGCAACAATTTAGATATCAATCAAACAATCAGTGAATTAATTGTATTGAAAGACACGTAAAGTAAACGTAATGTTCAATACGTTTGTCACAAATGTTGTGAAATATGTTTTCATTGCAACCAAAACAATGAGCCGTTCGTTAAATACGTGACTCTTTTGGGGGTTGACTCAGGAATTGGATACAGAATATTGAGAATTGGGGCCAAAATAACCAGAATTTGATGATTTGATCACAACTTTAATAAAGTACTTATTTTCGTAAAACTATATTTAATTACAAATATTACATAAACTGAAAATAATGTTCAGGAAATGTCAATTTATTAAATACTAGTCTATTAATTCAAAATACTCCTGATAAAAATGTTCCATGTTCATTAAAAATATGATTAATATTTATAATAATAATATGATTAATAGTAGTGATAAATATGCAAAATGATTTCAAATAAATAAATCCAACGTTTATCCAAACTATTTATACAAGTTCTCAGATTTATGTAACAATTCTATAATGGTTTAAACATTTGATTTAAAAATTTATATTATATTCAAATTGTTATTAATCGGTCAAAAGACAAGTTATCTTAATTAAAATCCAAACTAATTTTTGCATAAAATTATTTATTATTTTATTTCAAATTAATAGACATAATGTTTGTAACGCTGTGTTGAAACAATACCTGTAATATCAGCACAGAATAAAATACAGATGTTTTGTAATGTAATTACAGACAAAACTTATGGAAAAGAGGTGTTTATTTATATAAGAGATAAATGTATTCGTTTTATGACAAATGATATAATTTATTATATTGTAATTTAAGACATTCAAAGCCTATTGAATGAAAGCCAGAATTTAAATATCGAGCGTATAATTCAAGACCAGAAATATTCTTATAGACGGATTCACATAAGACCTCATTCTTGTTCACGGAATTGAGTTCACTATCAGATGAGACAATCTCTTCGCTGGCATTTCTGATGTCATTATTGACACCGTTTTCTTCAAACAATTGTTTAACAAATTGTTTGAGTGGAGGCTTATGTGAATGTATAGCACTCGGAATCGACACAATAATACCCTCTAATAAGTCATCGTTTAGTGTTTTATTTGTCGCTATTATTAAATATTCAAGACTTCCACGAAGTTTAACACTTTGACCACTTCTTGTAATTTTATGCCAAATAAAAATGTGAGTACTTTTGCATTTCAGAATCGGTAGCATTTGATTTATTACAAAATCTTTTTCCTTATGTGTGGTCCAAATGCAAACTCTTATATCTGTTTGTGTGGGAAATAAATGTAACAAAAGGGCCAAATGTTGAGTCATTTCTAAGACAATATGATTGTCATCCGTTTGATAACATTGTTTCCTTTTAACAGATTTATTTGACTGATAGGGCGGGTCTATCACTATAATAAACTCGTTGGTTATCGTAAACATGCCTTTAATGTAATGATTTCTCATTATTTCTAGTCCTTTGATTACATCGGAACACATTAGCGAACATTTTGGGGGAATAATAAAGTCACCAAAAGTGACACTAAAGTTGTTATTATTGCAAAACAGTTTATCCATGTATTCATCAAAATTGCAATAATTTAGTGCCATTTGTGCCAATTCTTGAGCCCTTTTATTGTCTTCGCTATTAATAGATTGCTTTATCGTGTGTTTCACTTCATTAAAAACTTTATTAATCGTTTGTATTTGCGATTCTGTTAAAAGGCTTTCGTAAATGTGTTTCTTATTTTGAATTCTTTTCTTTCTTTTATTAGTTTTACGATTAGTTTCATTCATATCCCTTACGATCGCCTCTTTCTCTGATTGCATAAAAAACGGTTCGTTTATTGCAAATAATGTTTCATTTAATTCATATTTGGGTTCATTTTTATCGACAACTCTATTGTGTTCAATATATACGCCAATCAATCGTTTGTCAGAATTATTCAAAAAGTGCATCATTTCTAAAAATAAAAGAAATATTTCATAAGATTATGTAATAAATGCACTGTTTTTCGTAATTTAGTGTTAATTATTATTTACCAAATAAAGACTTTCGAAATTTGAAAGGATTTTTGCAGAATTTCGCATATAATTAATAAATATAGAGAAAAGTAAAGTTTTGAGTGTTTAGCAAATAAACAAATGTCAAACTCAACTTAATGCCTATAATTACATAATAACCACCAAGCTAGTACTGGTAATACTGGTATTAATACTTTGCAATATTTTACACATAATATATTCTAATTGAATCGTAAAGAATAAAGTTGTAAAAATAGTTTCAAAATTGCAAAACTTAATAATAATCGCTTTTGATTGACAATAAATGTAGAGTAAACTAAATTAATCGCCCAATCATTTCGCAGAATGTGTTAATCTGTTTTAATCGTATCGTAAAATCTATGGCATTATTAACCATGGTTATTTTTAAATAGTCGTTTTAACCTTTCGGTAAGCTTTTTCATAGTATTAAAGGACAGAATTTGTAACAATTTATAGAAACAAAGACTTAAAGCCAATACTTATACGCGGATTAAACAGTGACAGCATTTTAATTTATTTTTTATTAAATATATTATGACAACAATAATAAATGTATCGTTTTATGTTTGTTTAGTCATAAATTAAAGCAACGTATGATGTAATAGAGTTATGCTATTAATAGGATACCATGATCTAAAGCTCGAGTTATGCGCTGTTTAGTTAAGCGTATCGGCAGTGATATACAGGTATATACATAATAAAGCCATAAGAATATCGTATGGAAACAAAGTTTAGGAATTATATGTCTTTTTGAGACGAGGAAACCGAAGAGAGCATGTGTTGTACTGGTATTACATCACAGTTTTGTGACTACCACTCAAACCACTGGATTCCTAAACAATACTTGCATTCAGTGTGTATTGAATGCATGTTTACTGTATTACAGGAATATAGAGACCTTGACATACATGCACTCCAACAACACTTCCACTACTTTTAACACAGAAATCATTTCGTAGTTATTATCCAACTTTTCACGTCTTTTTACTTCATGTCTTATTTTGTTTATCAATTCAACACATTTTGATAACAAGTCATATAATATTATTGAAACAATACATTTCATTAATAAATGAGAAAAAGTCCATTTTAACGGATAATTATACTTCATTTTGCACTAAAACTTGAAAATATTCAACCAATTATTGAAGCGATAAATATATTTAAAAGTTATTTTTAATGAATGATTATAATTGTAATGTCATCTCAACATAATTTATTGCGGCATTAATTCTTGTGATTGCCATTGAATTATCAGATTCTCACAAAAGGTTTGTTGTTTTCAGAAAAATCAATAATTTTTATTGATTCGTAAGTTTACTTTAATTCTAAATTCTGTAACACATTGTATAATAATAACTCGTTTTGGGATTCATTGCTAGTGTTTATGATTTAACGTTAAAAATTTGTTTATTTTTGTTTCAAAATAATTATATAAACTTCAGAATAAATAAAAATATTTCTGGAATTTTATCAAATTTCAGACTTAAATGAATGGGCGATGGATTGGGAGGAAGAGTTGGACAGTTATAAGTACGACAGCGAAAAGTTTGAGAAAAAGCGAATCAAAGTTCTTCAAAAGGAAAGGGAATGCATCCAAACCAAGACATTCACGAAATGGATTAATTCAGTCCTCATTAAAGTAAATCAATTCTAAAAATTCTATAAATAAATCAATAAATAATGGATTCGTTTGTCATTTTAAGGAAAAGGAAGAAATTAATGACATTTTCGTCGATCTCTCAGACGGAAGAAAATTATTAAAACTCTTAGAGTTAGTGAGCGGTGAAAGTATTGCCAAACCTAATAGTGGGCGACAATTACACCACAGACTAGAGAATGTCAGCAAATCGTTAATTTTCGTGAACTCTAAGGTTTGTACAAAAAAATGTAGAATTTATTTAAATGAGTTCTAAAACAATGAATTCAAATAAAAGGCTCGATTGGAAAGCATAGGTCCACAGGATATTGTGGACGGAAACAAGAAACTGATTTTAGGTCTAATTTGGACAATCATTTTGCGATTTCAAATACAAAGTCTTAATTTCAATGAATTCAATATATTTGACGTCAAATCGGCGAAAGAAGCGCTTCTGCTTTGGTGTCAACTCAAAACCGCCAAATATCCCAACGTTTGTGTCAAAGACTTTAACCAAAGCTGGCGGTCGGGAATGGCATTGAATGCACTGATTCACGCGCACAGACCTGATCTCATTAATTACGATCGCTTGCATCCACACAAATATCGTTATAATTTGAATCTAGCCTTTGATGTCGCCTCACGAGCGTTAGGCGTCCCCAGACTTCTCGACGCCGAAGATTTGGACAGCGATTGTGTGGACGAGAAGTCTATAGTCACGTATTTATCGTGTTTTTATCACACGTTAAGTAAAGTTAAAAGTGATATCAAATGCAGCAAAAGAATCGAAAACATAATCTCTCAACTCATTGATGTCGAAAGACTTCAACTTAAATACGAATATTTCACTAAAACTCTATTAAATTGGATTCAAATCCAAATCTTGGAATTGGAGAACAGAAATGTTTGCAACAATTCATTGGGTATTCAGAAAGATCTCATAGATTTCAATGAATACATTGCCGTCGAAAAACCGCCTAAACTTCGGGAACGCAATGAATGCGAAGGAATTCATTTTGAAATACAAACTTTAATGAAAAGTTTAGGACATCCGTTATATAAAGCACCCGAAGGTCTCACTGTTAAAGACATTGAAAGGGAATGGACTGAACTTGAAAAGCAAGAAAACAAACGACAGCTTTATTTAAGGCAAGAGTTTTTAAGGTTAGAGAAACTGGAAAACATTGCCAATAGATTTGAACGAAAGTGTGTTCTGAGAGAGGCATACATTAATGAGAAGTTAAAGCTATTAAGTGAACCCATTTATGCCGACCAAACAAACAACAATTTTGAGGCCAATTATAAAA